CTGTTGGAAAGGGAGAGATCAAAGAATTCTGACCTGGCAGATACCTAAAGTAGGTGGAGTGATGGACATGGTTCTGAAATTTTTGTGCAGATCTAATTGGCAACTGTATGCCTCTTAAGCTTAAAAAGAGAAGACTACGTGGATACTCTTCACGAAGTATGTCTTTGTGTGACTTACTGCAATTAATATCAGTTGATTGTAAAATAAATCCTGAAATCTAATTAATTACAGCTAATAATGTTCTTCCGTATAGAGTTCGCCTGGATGAATGGAGGGCATCTAGAGGAAAAGTGATGAAGAGACCACCTACATCTGTGCTTCTGGGATCACAGCCTAAGAATGAAGAACTCTCTTCTACTGGTGGTTTCTTAGATCATGAATTAAATAGTGAAAAAGTCAACAAGACTCTTACAGAATGTCTGCAGTTAGCTGAGCAGGTACTCAGACACTTGCCCACAAATTATACTCATAGAGCCCTACAGCATGGGAATATTGTGGATGTATTGGACCTGTGAATCAGATGCAAGGGATTAATTGCTCCTCAAGTTAAGCAATATCATAGGATTTTGCTGACAGTTGAAGAAATTAGTTGTTGCTCAACTTTACTAACTTGCACAACTACACAATATAATTAGACAATAGTAGTAACCTCATGAAGTAGAAGAGCTGTAAAGTAACTAATCTAAAACGTTTGCATTTGCAGAAACATGCCTGGATTTCTGGAAGTCTTTATAAGTAATTCCATGTCTGTATATATGGGCTATGCAGTTTTGTATGTATGTATCTTTCAATTGGAGGAATAGGTGAATGAGAATTCTTCAGCTCGTGTTCGTAGTTCAGTTTGTAAATATTTGCTGTCTTCAACTTTCAGGGGCACTTTTCAAAGCAACAACAAACTCGTGGCTTTTTGGGTCAAAACTAGCTGAAATATGGTGCTGCAGGATGTTCATTGCACTTGAACTTTTTTTTTGCTTCAACTTTAGGGATGTCAAGGTAACAAAGCACGTGCCATGTTGGAAGAACTGTTAGAGAGTATTCCTGGGGCTAAAAAGCTTGCAAAATATTGGATCTGCTGGATGCGTCTTGAACAGATGGGCCCTCCTGAAAAGCTTGTGGCTGGCTATGAGGAAGCTATTTTGGCAGGAGCAATGGTGAGCAACTTGTCTTGAAGTTTGAGACTAAAAAGCATGAAAATGGGGTGTGTATTTAAAAAAAAAAAAAAAAAAAAAAGCTACTTCTGATTTTAATGAATACTTGTATGACAGAGGGGTCATCTTGTGCTCAGACAAGTCAGAACTTGGATTTGATTTGCTGTAGATACCTTTCTGCTTTCAAGAAATAAGGTTTAGGCTCCTAGTGCCATATGATGTTCTGCAGAGAAGAAATAAAGGATTAAAGCTTCTAGTATCAGTAGAAATCCAAACAGAACTCAGTTTTGCAGTACTGATGGACTTAATTCCTTTGCTTTAATATCAGCAAGGTTTTTGGTCATCAAACATGGCTCTAGTGCACTAAATACAGAAAATGCAGGATTCATTTATCTTCTGACTTTGTCTGAAAAGCATCAAATGATTAAGAACATGAACTCTGTATTTTATGTACCACTTTCCCTGTAATTTATACTAAATAAGATGAAATCAAATATGATTTTGGAATGTTTTTCTAAAACAAAACTTGAAACCTTTTTTCTAGCCTAGAGATGAACTACGGCGCATGCTGATAGATGCTATCAGAAACACTGAAAACTTGGTTAAGTCTGAGGATGGTAAGTTTGAGTGTTTCATTAGTTCAATGTCTGGCTTGACAAGCAGCACAAATTATTTAAAATATTTGTGCCTATATTAAATTATTTCACGCAGATTTCTGATTGGTACTTAATTCGAAAACAACCTTGTCTAAACTAATACTTCAGTAATAAACCAGTGGAGATGCTTTCATGTTCAAACTACTTAAATTTTCTCAAGTTGATGTTGTCCAGCTTATTTAACCTGAGAATTAAATGTCTAATAATTCTTTTCATTCACTAAGTCAGTTGCCTTTCTAACATGTGAGCTGTTTCAATAGCAGAAGCATAGTGTTGGGTGGAAATACTCCAATTTTTGAAGCAAAGTAGCTATACAAATTCCTGCTTGATATAGCAGCCCAGTATTTGATCTCAGAAACTGTCTGAAATATTCTATTCGGAGTCGCTGCACTTGGGAAGGAAGGGAATGACTTCTCAGCAAGTACTTAGCCTGAGTTTTCTTAAAGGTGATTAAAATGATTATATTTTTGTGGCCCAGACTCAGTTTTGTAACTTTCTTGTGCAACCCTAAAATTTTGGAGATCCCTAAAAACATCAACTTTTCTATAACTAACTAATCACAGCTGTACTTTCTTTCATTTTTCATTTTTAGGGGGAGCTGTGATAGAAACTCATTTAAATGAGGTACTGGAAATCAGCAAGGAACTCAATTCATCTGTTGAGCAGGTTCACGAGACCTTCAAGGATCTTAATATTGATGATCAGAAAGCAGAGAATGATGACAAGAAGGAAGAGACTGGCAATGAAGCGGTCAAAAAAGAAGAACCAGACCTAGTCTTTAAACCAGAAGAAGAAATCTTGCCAAAAAAGAATAAAAAGCACAAAAATAAAGAACGTACAAAAAAGAAAAAATGCGAAAGAAAAGAGCAGAGTGAAGATAGGGTAGAAGATAAAGGTCAAACAGTTAACTCTCCTGAGAAGGATAACGACACAGATTCTTTAATGAGTTGTAATTCATCTACCAACCCCTATTTGGAAAGGTAAGGTTACTTAAGGTAACTATTGAAAAGAAGCAGTGTCTGGGCAAAAAGTAATATTTGTTCTGTTCTGAAAGAGGGAAGCATTGCATCTGAGAACATACAACTAAAAGTACTCAAGGTTTTTAGGATTTCTTTGTTCAAAAAGTTTTTTTAATAATTCCTTAATAATAACTACTTGTTTTGAAATGCCTCACTACAGTAAAATGTGTTTGTGGCAGAAATAGAACTCTAGCTTCAGAGCCTCTATAGCTGTACCAGTTCTACAGTGAGCTAGGTCAAGGAAAATCAGGTATTTCCAATTGTTTACCTTTTCAAACATAGAATCACAGAACTGCTTGGGTTGAAAAGGACCACAATGATCATCTTCTTTCAACCCCCCTGCTATGTGCAGGGTCACCAACCAGCAAACCAGGCTCCCCAGAGCCACATTCAGCCTGGCCTTAAATGCCTCCAGGGATGGGGCATCCACAACCTCCTTGTGTGGTTTGTATGTCAGAAAATACCAAGGGTATAAACAAGATGCAACTGTCCTGTAATTGTATTTTGATACATAAATTCTGGGCAGTAATCCCGGGATGAAGCAAAGTTTTTTTTTGTTTTTTTTTTTCTTTTGCCACAACATTTCTTCTGTGACAACAGACTGGGGAAAGTTGAGCTCAGCTCTGCAATGTGCTGAGTTTGGCTCCTGGCAGTTGTCTGCTGTCACTGACAGTGAAAAGATAACCTCTTCCTGATGAAAGGAGTAATGGAGGATTCTTCCTTTAGAAACTTTTCAGGAGTTTTACAAGGTTAAATATATCTTTCCTGAAAAAAAAAAGATGGATACCCAACTTTAACTGTATGGATGGGAAAATCTGTTCACTGTTTTCTTCAGCTATGGGAAGATAGAGTTGAACAGGAGTAACTATAGTTCTGCTTGTGCTAGGTACTAGAGAGGTAGCTTATCTGTTACTGCGTGAAGTAATTTCTTTCTTTTCCCAAGTGTGAAGATGCACTATGAAGGAAATGATTCTGATGCTAAAGACCTGAAGATCATAACCCCCTTGCGGTACTCTCTACGAATTCGGGAGAAGATGTACAAGTTTTCAGATACTCCTAGAGATTCTCATGTCTCTTCATCTGAACAGCTGCAGGAATTGGAATCAAAAGCAACTGTACTTAGTCATAAACAGAATGACAAACTGGAAGAAACAAGTGCTGAAGTAGAAGAGTAAAAAGTAGCATTAACACTACATGCGGGGGAGGAGAAATCGGATTTTTAAGAAAGCTTGGGTGTCTTTTTTTGTTGTTGTATTTTAGCAGCCTTAGAAGAGGAGCTATCTAAACCTTGCATGGATAGCCTAGGATGAAATCTGATTTTAGTATGCTTTTTTTAAGCTTCTATCTTCCTGTGTTTTCAAACTCTTGTGGTAAATCTAATGGGACTGTTTGGGACTTAACGATATCAGTGTCTTCATGTTAAATCTGATTAATACTATATACTTAAAGATTAGGCTTAACGCACTTCATGTAACAGTTCAGTGATTATATTGTTAATATTTACTGTTTCCTGTTACAGTTCCTGTAAGTTCTTCAGAATTGCATATTCTAATTCTTCGCTTAAGCATCACAAGTAACATGGGAGTTCCAATAGGGAAATATCTACTACAGAAACTAGCTAGTGTGGTATGTAACTAGTTTTAAACTGCAATATCTGGCTTTTTTAAGGGGGTATTTCAACAAAACTGAGTACAGTCCCTTTAGTTAGCTGACCATGAATAATCTCACTAACCTACCTTATGTCGGTTTCCGTTACTTTGTAATATGGTAGACTTATTAAACAAATGAGCTGACTTATATTTGTGTCTTATTTACAGGCTTGGGGTTGGAAACTAATTGCAGGTCGTGGCAATAGCCCTGGGACTGAGTTTCTGGGCATTATTTTAGTTTATTCTAATGTGTATGCTCTTGAAGTGGCTTTAACTCAGCTTCTGTTAACATTTGACATCTTTTTTCCAGTGTTAGTTTTATGACCACTAGTTTTTCAGTACATTTAGTGTACTAAACAGGTGGTTACTTGGATTACAGGGCTTAGGCCTTGGGTTTTGTGCAACACGGAGCAGCAAGAGTCCCTGAGGACAGCAGGACGCTCAGCGCAGCTCATTGTTAACCGGCCTTTGCTCTGCCAACCCCCACCCGGCAACGGCCGCCATGGCTGCGCCCGCCCTCCCGCGCGGCGCCGCCTCAGAGGCCGGGGCGGGCGCCGCCTTCCTTCCCTTCCCTGCACCGGGGTGCTCTGCGTTCGGGGGCCGAGCGCCAAGTCTCCGGGGGCCGTTCCTCAGCATCCCCCTGCCTGCCGCCCTGGCCGAGGCGTAGCGGGAGCCCCGCTGCCGCGGGAAGCGGCCTCGGGGCCTCGGCTATCGCAGTTGGTAAAGAATGGAAGAATACGAAGTAGTGAAAGTATTGGGAGAGGGGTCCTTCGGGAGAGCTCTCCTAGTTCGACACAAAGTCAGCGACCAGAAGTATGCCATGAAGGAAATTAGGCTTCCTGTGGTAAGTGATACACGTGCATCTCCTCCCCTTCCACACACACACGCGCGCGCGCGCACACACACACACACACATTTTTTTCCTCAGTGTGGTCTTGGAACTGAACCCCTTTGCTGAGAATTGAGTTTATTGGGCATCTACATGGTACGTAGTTACTAAGTAACTATTTGATTTAATATGTGTAATAGCAAAATCTGATTTGTTTCAGAAAGTGTATGATAATAGGACCATAGCATCACAGAACGGCTTGGGTTGGAAGGAACCTTAAAGCCCACCCAGTTCCAACCCCCTGCCATGGGCAGTGCCAGCCAGCAGCTCAGCCTGCCCAGAGCCCCATCCAGCCTGGCCTCGAGCCCCTCCAGGGATGGGGCATCCACAGCTTTTCTGGGCAGCTGTGCCAGGGCATCACTGCCCTCATGGTGAAAAACTTCCTCTAATGTAGTTGACTGTATTCCTATTTTGCAAGAATCTACATTTCATCTGCAAAATCTAATGGGGAATTGAGCCTTATATTATTGCTGAAATTCAGTTATTCAGGTTACCTGTGCTGCACGTAGCTAACAAAAAAATCACAAAATGGGAGGCTCTGGCTTTCTTGAGGCTGAAGCTAAGTTAGTACTTGGGCACTTGGTTTTATACTGAGTTTGTGCAGTACAGCTGTCAGCTGTTCCAAAGTCAGTGTGTGCTGATTTGTTGTTGCATAGTTCTATGCTGTTAAAATAGAAAATCATTAACTGAGCCCTCAATATATCCAGGAAGAAGTCTACAATTAGTTGTAAACCTTACATTGAAGAAGATAATTTTCAGGTTTCTAAAGGACTTCTTAAAATAACAGAATAAAGTAAATTAAAGATGTGTTATGTGTAAATTGGTGTCAAGTATATATATGAAAATGTTTTAGAGTGACCTTTATATAAATGTACTTACATTTTCAGTCTTCATCTGAGGTAGAGAACTCTAGGAAGGAAGCTATTCTTTTGGCTAAAATGAAACATCCAAATGTTGTTGCCTATAAAGAATCCTTTGAAGGTAAATATAAAATTTTAAATATCTATATTTAGAATCATAGAATAACAAAGATTGGGAAAGATCTCTAAGATCATCCAGTCCAACCGTCTGCCTATCACCAGTATGTCTCTCAGTACAACATCTTAAACGCCTCCTGGGACAATGACTCTACCTCCCTGGGCAGCCCGTTCCAGTGAACACCACTCCTTCAGAGAAGAAATTTTACCTAATATCCCACCTGAACCTCCCCTGCTGCAACTTGAGGCCATTACTTCTAGCTGTATCACTAGTTATGTGGGAGAAGAGGCTGACTCCCACCAAGCCGCATCTTCCTTTCAGGGAGTGATAGAGTGCAATAAGGTTTCCCCTGAGCCTCCTCTGTGCTTCAGACCCTTCAGCAGCTCTGTTGCTTGTCTCTGAACAAGTTCCAGAGCCTCAATATCTTTCTTGTAGTAAGGAGCCCAAAATTGAACACAGTATAAGGTTTTTTTAAGTTTAATTGTAAAGTTTAATTTAAAGTTGCATACTCCTATGGCATGAAGATCACGTTTTTAGCATGTAGTTGGAACTTTATAGTAACAGTAATATATGTATTCTGTTCATTAAATTACTAATTATTTGTAAATTGCCTGAAATCTAGCTGATGGACACCTGTATATAGTGATGGAGTATTGTGATGATGGAGATTTAATGCAAAAGATTAAACACCAAAGAGGAAAGTTGTTCCCTGAAGACACGGTAAGGAAATACATATTTTTGAAACAAGCAACAACCTTGGAGTCCTTCTTCATGTAAACTGAAGTACATTAAGAAGTATGTTAAGTCACATAAAATAAATTTAATAGATATACAAACACCTTAGACTACATTAAATGAAACGAGATGATAGAAGAATCATTAAGGTTGGAAAAGATAACTGAGGTCATCTATTCCAACCATCAACCTATCAAGGGAATAGAAGCACTGCTGCTTTCATAATTTCCAGCAGAACAAGTAAACTGTAAAAGGAATAAGAAATAAATTGCTGTCTGTATCTGAGAAATGTGTGAACAGTGTGCAAAACACAAATGTGAATGCATAAATGTATGCAATTAAGTCAGAACTTAGTACAAACCAGTCAAGTAAGAGGTACTGCAAATGAAAAGTAAATGAAGTACTGTGCTGAGATAATTGAAATTAGCTAAGAGACTAAATAAAATATTATGCATCAGTTGAGCATTTGAAGCAAACATGATGCATGAACTCCTTTTGTCATTGAAGCTATGAAATTATTTAGGAAAAAGCTCAGAGTTATGTTGTTTTGATTTAAAAGCCACATCCTGCCACTTATAAGCATCATCTTCATTATATGAAAATACCGGAATCCTCAACTAATATCATCCTTAGTTTGTTCAGACATCTCTAAGGCCTTTACTTTGTACATTTAAAATAATACAGTTCATTTTAGAAACATTATATTATCTCAATGCAAGTATTTTTTAATCTCCTTATTTGCTATGAAATCATAATTAGCACACGTGTAAAATGACCTGTATTGCCTCCCTGGTTTCATGATTGTTATGTGGTGTTTTTCTAGGCACAGCATTCTTTCTGCCTTGTTAAAATGTGTACTTTTATTTTGAAGGATTCAGCCTTTTGTGGAAACTTGGGGTCACTGTGCTAGAGTTACTTACAACTCTCAGGTGTTGGAAACACTCTTTCTTCTGTGCTTTTTAAAGAATCTGTTAGTGAAGAAATCCTTAGCTACAGTATTGAACCATTATTATTCTTCATTACTTTTTTCAGATCCTTTGCTGGTTTGCACAGATGTGCCTGGGTGTGAAGCACATTCACGATAAGCGTGTGTTGCACAGGGATATCAAATCTAAGGTGAACAGAGCAAAATTGTTTTTGCTACTTACAAACTCTTCTGCATGCAGATGTTCAACTCTGTGTTATGATCTCCTGCTATTGCTATGTGCTGTTTTTCACTTGTGTGAAACCTTGCAGTCTTGCACTGTCTTAATATAATTATGCCCTTCATAGCCACACTGGTGATAGCACCAAGTGCTTGTGGCAAACTGCAGATAATTGAGAACAATAGAGACATGAAAAAAAGAGGTATGGAGTAAATATCTTGTAGATATCTTGCCTCTCACTTTTATTTTCTTACTATTTCCTAGCGAAAAGATAGAAGCTCAGAAGCATGCCCTTAGTGCTTTGAGTACAGCACTGAGATGAAGGCATTTCTGATGTCTGATTCTTTCTCTGCTACTGATGCTAAGAATTTGGGCCTAATTGCTATTCTGTTTGCCTTTCAACAAAATATACTTCTTAGCTTTTTGTCCTAGAAGATTTAGCTTAAGCAAGTAAAAGGAAATACAAAGTGTCAGAAGTGATCATCAATGTCTTTTTTGTATGTACAAACTGCATTTCCTAAAAGTTATTTAAGTGTATGAATCTGTTCTCTTGAAATGCAGAACGTCTTTCTCACTCAAAATGGAAAAGTAAAATTGGGAGATTTTGGATCTGCACGACTTCTTGCACAGTATGTAGATATTTCCACTGATTTCAGTGGTATTGTTTTATTTTGCAATACATAGATAGTACAAAATATCCTGAAGAATTACATTTCACGTGGATTTTCTTTGTTATTTCAATAGCCCAATGTCATATGCCTGCACATATGTGGGAACTCCTTACTATGTACCTCCTGAAATATGGGAAAACATGCCATACAACAACAAAAGGTATTCATGTTTTCAGTGGTCACAGATAATGACTGAATGACTTTTTGTTTAAAGTTATCTGACTTTGTGCTAGATACTTGTTTGGTTTCAGGCAAGTATTGAATTGAGAAAAGGGTAATTTCTGGGGCAGGGGGCCTAAGGTGCAAAGGCCTAAATTCCTCTTTATTTAGGTAATTGAAAGTATAGTATCTTCAATCTTAGGAGTTCAAAAACTGCTGTCCAGACCTCTGTGTGCATTTGTAAGAGAAAATAAGATACATAGAGACACACACACACATGTATTTATGTGCACATATACATACATGTATGTTTCTTTCTCTTGGTTGTTTTATTTTTTAAGCTCTTCTTGCCTGTCTTAATGTAGGGATAATGGCTACAGAATTGATCACTCTTAAATTTAATGAACCCAGTTGTCCTAGTCCTTATGCAAGGACTTCTGTGAGCAAACTGATAGAATGGTGTTCACAGCTTCCTCACAGACTCAATACTGCTGAGCTATTGTGTATCCCCCCCCTCCTAGTTCTGTTCTGTGATCCTAGTTGTACCTGAATCTGACTTGCAAAGTGACTCATTTTCACAGCAGAGAGGTGAGCTTTGTAGTGCTTATGATTTTTCTGCTTCTCTTGCAAGGATAGTGTCAAATTGCATCTTTTGCAGGTGTCAGTACTTGCTTTCTGTGAAGAAATTGTGATGTTTTCCCAGTAGGAGAATGTTCATTGGCAGGGACTAGAATTCCAGCTCTCAGAATTAGGGTTGTGTAGCTGCCATTTGATGCTTAGGGCTGTGGAGCACAAAGGCTTTGCACTGCAGAAGGATATAAATATTGTTGAAGCAAATTGCTTAGAAGACATTCTGGGAATAAAAAGCTGAGTACAGTTATATGACATTATCCTTATTTACTTCAAGGTGGGTTAAAATAAGCAAGATCATTTCCACTGGAGATGCCAAGCACATTATCATGTTGACTTTTATAATTACATTTATTTTAGTTTATTCAATTCAGTTACATACACATAGTGAATTTCACTTTTACTGGACTATTTTACTTGTTAAACTGTAATTTCTGTCTCAATTTTTCTTATCTTTCTCTATGCCTACAGTGACATATGGTCTCTGGGATGCATCCTGTATGAGCTGTGCACTCTTAGACATCCAGTAAGTGTGGCTATATTGATATTAGAACAGCTTTGAAAATCCTTAAAATTTAATCAGTAATTAGCTGAACTTTGATGGATTCATAGAGAATTACATTTTTGACTGAAGTGTTTGCTGCTGCTCTTTCTGAGACAGGGAAGTACTGCTCCACCCTTCCCACTTCTCCTCCATTACTTTCCTTCTGTGTTTCAGCTGCTCGTGGTCTACTGAACCCTTCTGTGAAATGCCCAGTCTTCTAAATTGCTAGAAAACAATTCTTTTTTTCTTGCTTGCTTGGTTTTCCTCCCTATCAGTGAGATGATTTGGGATATAGTAAGAAGCCCAGTGAGTCCCACACTGAATCAGGATATCTGTTGGAATGTTGGCACAAGCATTGCATTTTATAGGATCTAGCTGATCACAGAAGATGGAGGCAAGGACACTCAAAATCTTTTCTAAGGTGTCTATAACATATGCAACTACAGCAAAATAAAAAATAAACAGTTTGGAACCTCACATCAGTGACTGATTGTTAAATCAAGTTGCTGTCCAAGTAGTGTTCTCCTACTGGGACAGAGGGAAGCTGGATGTATGTTTCTGTATCTTTATCACTTCTAGTACGCTGGATTTCAAGTGTTTGATGATATGCTCCCTGTGTGTTAACTTCCTCTGCCTTCTTTATATGGACACGTGGCTAAGACTAAAAGCATTATCAAGATGCAGGAAAATGAGATCATCCTAACATAAGGTCATTTTGTCATACGTTGTTTTACAAGCAGCAGTTTCACTTCATCAAGCTACTGCTATAGTTTGAAATCCTTTGTAACAGCAAAAGATCTGGTCTAGTATTAAATGGGGAGGTTGGTGGCCCTGCCTGTGGCAGGGGGGTTGGAGATCCATGATCCTTGAGGTCTCTTCCAACTTCTGTGATTTTCTGATTCTGTGAAGATTCCTTACAGTTGCAGCTGCTATTAGTGTAGAAATTTATATTGCACGTCACTGAGTGATGAGGCCATGTGCACTGAAGTGTGTTACCCTAAGTATGTCTTTGTCATGACTTTGGTAGTGCTTTAGAAGGAGCAGAGCAGCCTTCCCTTTTTAGCACCAATGAAATTTTACATATCTGAGATGTTTTAATTCTCAGGAAATTATAAGTATTTAATTGTTAGCATAAATAAATGCCCATTTAATAGCTCTGTAAAATGTAAAATAGTTACTGATGTATTCACTCAAAGTTATAATTGCACACCTGAATTACAGCATGAAATTCCCCAATCAGGAGCCAAATCAGTATGACTGTAGAGAATCTATATAGATGCATGCCACTATTATTAATAATAAATATTAAAGTTGCTCATCAATGACATCAATTTATTTAATATGTTACACACTGCATGCTCTCATGTTTGTTTATTTTTAATGCAGTTTCAAGCCAATAGCTGGAAACATCTAATCCTTAAGATATGCAAAGGATCCTACAGTCCTCTGCCAGCTCGCTATTCCTATGAACTCCATTACTTAATAAAACAGATGTTTAAGAAAAATCCAAAGAATCGTCCGTCAGCGACTACTATTCTTGCAAGAGGTTGCTTAGCCAAACTTATCAAAAATTGTTTCCCTTCTGAGGTACAGTATAGTCTTTGTCTCTGGATTGGAACAATAATATCTATGTGTCAGACACTAAATAAATTTCTTTTGTGATTTGGTAGTATATAACAGTATGAAATGTAGTGCTGTGTAGATCCTACGTTAAAGGTTATAATACATTTGTAGACATTTCAGAAAAACAAATTTTCTGAAGGATTTTGAGTAGAAAAGTTGAGTATTGACATCATGCTGCTAAAATAAGGCATTGTTATCTGTCACAATAGTTTTGTATAGTAAGGCTATTTTTAACAAATGCCATATACAGTAGCTTGAGAAAGATTAAAATCTTACAGTACTAACATTTGTACATACACTTCCAGGTGACAGAAGAATTCAAGCAAGATCTAAAGGAAATCAGGAAATGCAAAGGCACTGCAATAAGACCAAAAGGTAAGTCAGTGATCTTTTTCTTGATATAGGAATAATAAAGTGACTAGGAATTGTAAGATCTTAAATACAGCTGTAAAATTTTAATATTATGTGCTTGAATCAGTTTTTAATTCTTTCAAAGTTTAAGATTCCTGAACTTGAATGAAAAGTACTTGAACCAGTGTATATTACATTCCATCATGAAGCTTCATGTTAGAAGACTTGTAATTGGGCATAGCTGAGTGCTATACATCATTACCTTCCCTCTGTCAGAAATACAGTGCAGTGCTGCAATAGAAGATTTTAAGTCTTAGACTTGTGCTAGGATTAAGCTTGTTAATTTTAAAAGGAGCAAAATTTTTTGCTGTTGTATCTATTTTAAATGTAACTGGGCTTTCTTTCCCAGAACACAGAGAAGCGAGCTATTTTTGTTATTTGGTTTAGAGAAGATTTTGGATTTTATCTAATATAACTACACTGCATGCATTTAATGACACTCAAATTTATACACAACTGCAGCCCAAGCAGTTGTATTTTATTGCAGAAAGGTTCAGAGGGACTTAACGTAGAGGGATGGACTCAGCATTGAGAATGAGATACACAGACAGGAGTGTGAAGTAATTTTCCTCACCTGGTTCAGTGGTAATGATGTCATACCTCTCGAAATGCCTTTGGCAAACATCTGTGATAAAGTGGCATAACTCTTGAATCTGTCCCTTAATGTATCAGGTAGTGTTGCAGCTGGTGGAGGCTCAAATAAGAGAGAAAGTAAGGTAGGTATTCAACTATAAATATGCTACTTACATTTTGGCAGTTCAGAATGTTCTGTATTAGAGAAAATTATCACTCTGGAAAATCTTAGTATGCTAAAACTGTAGACCAGTCTTCTATGCCAGCTATCACCTGCACTCAAACTGCAGAGTTCAATTGCATTTTCAGACCTTTGTAACATTTTGGTGTTTTCCACATTTAGTTCAGTTCCAAAGTGGATTTCATTATAGTTATGAAAACAAAACAACAACAACAAAAAAAAACCTTCACTTTTCTGACATCTAAGATACTGCATAAAATCATGTATTTTCTTTGCTTTGGGGTCACATTTTGAACAGTCTCCTGTAGAAACAATCCAGTGGGGACTTCATTCTCACTAGATTTTAGCACCAATGTGAGATTCTAGGTGAGGAGTATTAAGCAACAAGTGACCAAGAAAGCACTTCTGAGTAGATTATAGCACAGTCTGTCCAAGCTATATTTGAGTATATTTTTCAAAGCATGTTGCCAGTAGGGCTCTTTTTTTTTCTTTTAATAGACTTGTCAGCCTGAGAAGCTTAATATTTGGGTCCAACTTGTTTTCTCAAGGAATGGGCTCATGTTATCTTTATATTGCTACTGTTTTCAAATGTGGAAAAAAAAAATCAAAACCCCACAAATTGCATCAAATAACTACATTCATACTTAGCCTCAAAAGGAGATTGCATGTTCTTTTCTTGACAATGTGAATTGTAATATAATAATAGCTCCAGTGCAATTGCTGTTGCCACTGCTTTCATGGTGTCTTCAATTTTCTGATTCTTAGGCCAGCCATTTTGTGGTAAAACTATAATACTTAATACCATGTTAATATTACTGCTTTGTTTCTCTGGACAACAAAGATAATGATTAACACGCTCCTTATTCTCTTAAAGCAAAGCAAAGATGAAAGTAGCACATGGTTGAAAAGTGAAAATACTACTAAAGATTTGAATGAATGCACAAGAGAACAAAGGAAAAATGATGAAGAGGGTAAGTTTTAAGGCTTATGAATTTCCTTCTAACTAGTGATTTTAAATGTCGTTGATCCAGACATATAAACAGGTGGAGCATACAAGCCTGCATCTACATAAATCCATGTCACTGTCTGTTGCTTCCTAATTGTATTGATTCTTACTGGTCATCTGAAGTTTTTAAAAAAGTCTTGGCCAAAATATTAAGTTGTTTGAAAACATTTGGTATGGAGTAAATGGACTTGATGGGGTTATTCTACATCCTTTTTCTAAGTTAAGAATTGTGCTCATAGCGTCAAATATGAAATGCTGAATGCTTTGTGCTAGTTTGAATGGAGAGCAAACAGTGAGATTTCTGCTGGTGATCATCTTTGTTGTTGTAATTACAGCAGAAACTTCAGAAGTCCTCTCAGGAATTACTGATTTGACACATCTCCATAGGAGACGATGGGAGAAGAGGACATTCAGTACTGTAGTGGATGTCCTGGAAAATGCTCCCTTGCTTTCTTCCAGTTTTACATCTGAAGAGAATAAAAGTAAGATTTAATTGAATGTGTTTTTACACAATTTTAATTCAAATAATATCAGTGCTGCTTTACAGATGTTAAAAACCTAAACTTCACAGGAAATATTTAAAGTGATGTGAAAATCATTTAAAAACATCCTATTAACAAGCACTCAGGAAGTGCACCATACTGAAAAGATACATTTGAGACTGATGATTTCTTACTGGTCTTGTGTAATGGGAGCATTTTGAAGAGTAATGAAAACTGAATTAACATTAGCAACCCTAAAATGAAAATTATTGCCGAGAAATTATGCTACCAACCCTCCTCTTAACATGCCATGAAGTGAGTGACACTGAAGATGTTATACAAAATTCATCATCTGCAGAACTCAGTTGTTGAGACGTACCTATTCTCATTTTCTTTCTTCTCTCTTCATGTCATCACCCAAAGTATGCTGTGAAAGGTCAGTGTGCTGCTTGCACTACAAGTTTTCTACCTTTGTTTTTCTCTTAACTGTGGCCTTTGCAATTCATGTTGCTAATGCATTTTCATCTGAGTAATAGTATTTAATAATATTTTTATTATTATAACAGATGGCTCTGTTACATACTACAGTGAAAATAAGCCACGTAAGCAGTGGGCTAAGGAAACTCCTCAGACCCTGATGAACATCCTCAGTACTGCAGATGTCAGCTTAGCATTTAAAACATACACAATTTATAAACCAGGTAAATTCATATGTTTATTAGTAGGCCCAGTGTATAGAGATTGAACACTAATGCACGTGTCACAACAGACATGAACAACATAGATTTTGTTTAAACCAAATTAAATGTGAACTTGAAAAAGAAAATCCAACTGAGAATTCCTGAGTGATTGTACATCTCCACTGCATCTATGAAAGACTTTCACTTGAAGAGGCTAACAGTCTTCACCCTGCCAAGTGGCATAATATCTGAGTTGTTGGGATGGAGTAATTAGGCTGTAGCCTCATCAGGGAGTCCACTTTCACTGAGTCAGTACTGTCCTGTTTTGAAGAGAGGATGGTAGGATGGTGGAAGGTAACCGTAAGCTGTGGATATACATAGCTGCAGGTGTAAATACTGTCTCCAGCTAAAGAATCGTAAAACATCCCAAGTTGGAAGGGACCCACTTAGTCCAACTCCTGGCTCTACTCAAGAGTACCCAAAAATCAGACCATACATCTGAGAGTGTTGTCCAGATGCTCCTTGAACTACTGGCAGCTCAGGGCTGTGCCACCTGCACAGCCTATTTCATATTCACTGCCCTCTGGGCCAGTGATATCCAACCTTGAGTTACTGGTTTATCTGTGTGCTTAAAATAGGTAACAGCTTGTACTGGAATCTGCAAAGATCTAGAGACAAACTAGAAAACTATAATTGTAGATACATTTTTAATAATTTTATTCTAAAATTTGTGATCTTGGCTTATGCTTTCAAAGCTTCTGAGAATATATTAAGAGGTCCACTTTCTGATGAAACTGAAGCATCTGATGAACTAGATGGGGAACATGAAGATATTGCCACAGATTTGGAGAGACTTGAGCCTAGATCTGATGAAGACGATACGTATGTCCAAATGACATCCTTGTGTCTTTGTTTTGTTTCCTCCCTTAAAGCAGTTAAAATATCTATAGATATTCCTCTAAAAAAAAGACAACAGTATTTTTCTTATCACTTAAATTTATTCTTCTTTTACACAGTGATATTAGAGTTTAGTAACATTTAATATCTTAAATACTTTCTTTGCTATATTTATAGTTCATGATGTTGCTCATTGTTTATTTTTGCTGGTGACTTTGTTAAAAAAAAAAAAAAAGACGAGATGAAATTAGATCTGCAGTAGTGTGCAAACTTTTTCTTGCATGAGACATCTTTGTACTCTGACCTTGAAATCAGATAATCAAAAGCAATACCACTTGCTAGTAGTGTGTTTGCTGCATTCATGTATTATTCTTCACACTCATTCGTGCATAGTGCAGTGAAGTCACTTTTACACCTACTTATTGAGATACATTTGTAGAAACTTCCAAACTTCTGTTTATGTTCCTGTTTTGGAAAAGCAAAGTATGTCAACACATTCTGAAGAAAAATATTATATTTTACATGTGTGTGTATTTGGGGTGGGGTGTTCTTCAAATGTCAAAATCTTAGCATATGTCATTGTTTATTTTGGTGGCACTTGGAGGTGACCTACTCAGGCAGGGATGTACTGCTGCAGTCTAACAGCAAGCCCTTCATATCATCACACATATGGTGTCTTGGTGTGTGCATTTGTCTTTGCAGCTGATAAAACTTATTTGGGTAACTTCAAAAGGGAGTCCCTACCAGTTCCTTAATCACAGATAAATAAGTCTCTGGTGTTGATGTTTTTTAACAGATTTTTCTCCTATTGAGTGTGATTTTAGAAATATATATAATATATATTCATATATAATATATATATGAAGCAGATAAAGATTTTATGAAGCTGTACTCTTTCGCTTTGCAAAATAACATTTTGAAATCTATTTTTAGGGACTTTGAGGAAGATGACCCAGATTGGGTGTCAGAACTGGAAACGGTATTGATACACAGTGACTGAAAACCTGGAGTTTTTCTACAGTAACAAAAGTCAGTCTTACTGCTATTTGTAATCTGATTTGTTGTTGTTAATAGTTGGAGTTATTAATAAAATCACCTTATTCAAAAAATTCTGAATATGCATATTTTCTGTATCACAAAACTGAGGGAATTGCATAGCTTTGCCCAGGGAAGTGGTCTGGACATCAGGGGGAAATTCTTTACAGAGAGAGTGGTGAGGTGCTGGAACAGGCTGCCCAGAGAGGCTGTGGATGCCCCGTCCCTGGAGGTGTTCAAGGCCAGGTTGGATGGGGCTCTGGGCAGCCTGGTCTAGCATTAAAAGAGAAGGTTGGTGGCCCTGCATGTGGCAGGGGGGTTGGAGATTCATGATCCTTGAAGTCCCTTCCAACCCTGGTGATTCTGTGATTCTATGGTGCAGTCACCATCCCTGGGGTGCTCAAGAGCCACGTGGATGTGGCACTGGGGGACAGGAGTGGGCACGGTGGGATGGCTTGGTGATCCGACTGGATGGGCTTAGAGGTCTTTTCCAGTATTGCACTGCAGGGTTAACAGGTCTGGAGGGCGTGTTATGGAAAACATGTAGCTGTGCTAATTGAAGCTTAGTTCACGCATCGTTAATCTTACGATAATACCTTGGGGTGAGCTTTTGCCTTAATTACCTCCATGACCAGAATTTTATGTATGCCATACGCATGTACGTAAACTCATTTGTTCCTAAATAAGGACGAACTTTCCCGCTTTGATGCGGAGACAGACTAACGCTGTGAAAGCGTTACGTGTACCGTCAGCTCTTCCAACCCGAAGCCGCTCCGAGGGCACTGCCCGCGGCTCCAGGCCCACCTGCAAGTCTCCTCCTCCTCCCGCTGGAGGCGGTGCTCCGGAGCCGGCTGGTCGCACGCAGGTACCGCGGTCCGCCGTTCGGGCCGAGCCGGGCAGCGGGGGACGAGCCCAGGGAAGAGGGGCCCGCGCGTCGCGCCCCGTCGCCGTGACGACGGCACCACAGCGGGCGGGAGGGAGCGGTGGGGGAGAGCCGTGACCGCCGAGCTGCCGCCTCGCAGCTGGTGTCCCCGGCAGGGAGCTGCCGGCAGTGCCGGCCTGGGGCCTCGGCACGCAGTGAGGTGGCCCTGGTTGGGGGTGGGAGGCGGCGCGAGTGGCTGCGAGAGCCCCACAGACCGAGCGAGCCGCCTGCTATTCCTGACGGGAACAGCGTGGTTATCTGTGCAAACCTCCCCTGGCAACTCCTAGTCCAACTAATAAATACAACTTCAAGGCGTGTGCGTCTATTAGCCGTGTGAGTTTGCTTGCACATGGGTTGCAAATACCTGTGGCTGTCATTGCCAGGAGTGCAAGCTAAATCAACAAGCAGCGTGTTCTGTGTTTATTTTGCCCATTAAAGAACAAATGTGCAGTATTGGTAACCTCTAAATAATGTCAAACTCCCAAATCATTAGTCTTACTTATGCTGCCCTTCTTCCCTGCCTTCCTCCCTTCCTTCCTTCTTTCTGGGAGCATATTGCCAGCCTTGTTTAATATCTTTATTGATGATCTGGATGAGAGGGTGATTGAGTGCAGCCGTAATAAGTTTGCAGATGACACCAAGGAAGTGTCTATCTGCCCCAGGGTAGCAAGGCCCTGCAGAGTGTCACTGGACTGAAGCCAATGGGATGAGGTTCAACAAGGCCTCTCTTTGCAGAGAGAGCGGTGAGGTGCTGGAACAGGCTGCCCAGAGAGGCTGTGGATGCCCCGTCCCTGGAGGTGTTCAAGGCCAGGTTGGATGGGGCCCTGGGCAGCCTGGTCTAGCATTAAAAGAGAAGGTTGGTGGTCCTGCATGTGGCAGGGGGGTTGGAGATTCATGATCCTTGAGGTCCCTTCCAACCCTGGCAATTCTGTGATTCTGTGAAGGCCAAATGCAAGTCCTGCACTTTGGCTGCAACAACCCCAGACAACAGTACAGGCTTGGGGAAGAATGGCTGGAAGCCTGTGTAGAAGAAACGGACTTGGAGGTGTTGGTTGATGCTTGATTCAACGTGAATAGCAGTGTGCCCAGGTGGCCAAGAAGGCCAGTGGCATCCTGGCTTGTATCAGAAACAGTGCAGCCAGTAGGAGCAGGGAGGTGATCACACCTCTGTATTCAGCTCTGGTGAGGCTGCACCTTGAGTGGTCATAGAATCATGGAATCATAAAATGGTTTGGGTTGGAAGAGACCTTTAAGATCATCTAGTTCCAACCTCCTGCTAAAGGCAGGGACACCTCCGTCTAGGCCAGGTTGCTCAAAGCCCCATCCAGCCTGGCCTTCAATGCTTCCATGGAGGGGACATCCACAGCCTCTCTGGGCAACCTCTTCCAGTGTTTCGTCACCCCCACAGTAAAGACTTGTCTAGTCTAAATCTATTCTTTGCATACTGTGTTCAGTTTTGGGCCCCTCAGTACAAGAAAGATATTGAGACCATGGAGCATGTCCAGAGAAGGGCAATGAAGCCCTTTCTCTTATGGGGAGTAGCTGAGGGAACTGGGATTGTGGAATCTGGATGAAAGGAAGCTTGGAAGAGACCTTAATGCTCCCTACAGCTGCCTGAAAAGAGGTTGTGATGAGGTGAGAGTCAGTCTGTTTTCCTGTGTAACTAGCAATATGCCTTAACTTGCACCAGCAAATTTTCAGCTTGGATATTAGGAAGAACTTCTCAGAAAGTGTGGTGATGTGGTGATGCATTGAAGCAGACTGCCCAGGGAGGTGGAGGGCTGCCATCCCTGCAGGCGTTCATGAAACATGTGGATATGGCACTGAGGGATACTGGGTGTCATGAGAATGGATTGATGGTTGAACTGGATGATCTGGCCTTTTCCAGTCTTAATGATTCTACAATTCTGTGTTTCAAGCTTTCCTTTATTTGATGCTTATTGAAAGTGCAGGTCCACAATCGTTTGCAGACTTCCAGAAGCTAACAGTTGGAGGAAGCATCAGCAGCAGTAATAAAAATATGATATAAATGTGCAAGAAACTGCAGTATTGTAAGGTAGTCTCTATTTTGGTACTCAGATGTTGCAGCACTGACTACATGCAATACTAACTTGGGTATTCATTTTTTTTTAGCTATTGCTTTAAGACAGAGACTTCATGGATAAATATGAAATCCTTAAAAAAATTGGAGAAGGATCTTTCGGCAAAATATTCCTGGCAAAAGCAAAAGTGGATAATGAGCAATGTGTTATCAAAGAGATTGATTTAACTAAGGTAAAGCAACAAAACCTGGATGATAACAATAGTTATTTACCAAATTGTGATGATTGTATTCTGCTAGCATATGTACTTGGGTGAAGTCTTACCACGTTTGTAGATGTATCTTGATAGGCAGAGTTAAACTTTTCGGACAGTGTCCTCTTTGATGCCATTTTAGTGATTTTTCAAATTTAGAGTAAATATTTTGGTATTAACACTTTATTTTTCAATGTTTTTTTTTTTTTTTTCTTTTCAAAGCTGTACTTACTAAGCATTATAGAAGCATTATAGTACCTGATTTAACTTTTATAGCAGATGATTCAGCTACAATGAAATATTGCTAATGAATTAACAAGGCACAATTTTGTGACACATTTCTACAAACTTTTCCATTTGCTTTTTTTTTTTTTTTTTCCACATCCATGTTTTCAGACATGAGCAATTTACAACGGAGTCCTTCCAATTCTCACTTATTGTGTGTGGCAGTTTGATTTGTCTCATATAACTCAAAATGTCCATTCTGTAGTTGTCATCTCAGCTACTTGTTTGGGCTCGGGCCTGCTTTAGGAGAACAAGGATGCTGTTTGTTGTGTTTGAGAATTCTATTCTAGACTGAAGTGAATTGGGCCATAGAAGTGCCATGTTTCTTTCTGTGGGCTGCAAAGGCAGGTTAGAGTGGCTAGCCCAGGTATCAGAGTAATGTTCTCCTATATCTACTTCCAGAAAGACAGGCAGTTGAACTCCCAAAAATTTCAATAGTCATTTTCAATGGGTATCTATGTGCTTGTGACAGGTCTTGTGTTCTGGGCCATACTAGTGAATTTATGGTGTATTAGAGAATCATAATAGAAGAAAACTTGTATATATGAAGCTTAGAAAGAACTACATAACCTGCAGATTCAAGCCCAGAAAAAAAAATTGATTTGATTTGGTCGTTTCTAATCTTGTATTTCAGTGTATGCAAAGTAGAAAAAAAAATTTCTTGTAGTTTATCCCAGCTGTTAAACAAGAGCTGATTACAGAAAATTCTGACTCTGAAGTTGTAAAATTTGTCTTATATTGTAGAGTGTGTTTCTTTCTTGTATGAGCTGTGTCTCTGTGTGTCTTTTTGCCTTCTGAGTTTTGAATCTTTAAGGATTACATTTCAAATTTGATTCATAAGAATGAGAGTAGGAAACTTATTTTTATAAATAAAATAGAACATTTTAATAGAATTGGTATACTGTGAAGCATGAGTTTTTAAGGAATTATATTGATAAAAATGTAATTGCAACCAAGTATGTCTTCTATTTACTGTAATAGGGTAAGGGTTGTGCTTGCAAGAACTCATAACAGTTGTAAAACAGAACTTTTTTCTTTATTTTTTTGAAATTACCCTTATTAAGAACACAGAATCACCCTGACCTGTACTCTTCGTATATATAAAGTTTAACTTTTATGTTTTTTCATCAACTTAGTAATAGCATTTGTGCAAAAAGTTCAAAGCTATACATTTGCCTGTGTGTAAAACGTTATAATTCGATTTCACTTTGATAATGTTCCAGTGTATTTCCAGACATCTACTGCAAATGGGTATTTCAAACTGTATGTACATTGTGATTTATAATATTTCTGCATTACCTTGTGGCAGTCTTTATTGGTAGGAATGCTTTGACACCAATGTAACTACTTTTGGAAAGAGTTAAGTATATCACTGCTAGCATACGGTTTCTTAATTCTTTGTAGATGCCTGTGAAAGAAAAAGAAGCCTGTCAGAAAGAAGTCATTCTTCTGGCCAAGATGAAGCATGCAAATATAGTAACCTTTTATGCTTCTTTGCAAGGTTGACTTTTAACATTTTTGTTTTAATTGTGACCATAGGAGTAAAAGGCAGCAAAGCCTAGTTTGTTCTTATTGACCAACATGATGCGTGGGCCAAACACCTTATTTATCAGTGGGGACCACTTCCAGCTCCTAAAAATG